TTAGGTTAGGGTTTGAGGCTGCGACTCACCGTACATAGACAAGTCCTCTTTAAACAGCCTCCCCACATATACAGGCACCAACAGAGTCCCTCTGCAGCACAAACCCTAAACCCTAAACCCTAAACCCTAAAACCTAAACCCTAAAACCTAAACCCTAAACCCTGAACCCTCGTGCAGCATTGTCTTCAAGAAGCGCATTTGGAGAGGAACGGGGCGCCTCAAAAGCACTCCCCCAACCTGAACGCTAAACCCTAAACCCTAAACGCTAAACCCTAAACCCTAAACCCTCACTCCGGCAGCACTGTCTTTAAAAAGGGAATTTGAAGAGCAATGGAGTGTTCGTCTTTTTCTGCAGCTGCAGGAACGGTGTCGTAGAGGCCCGTGGAGAGCAGCGCGCGAAGCACTGCAGCAAACCCTAAACTCTAAACCCTAAACCCTAAACCCTAAACCCTAGCCCGTAAGCCCCAATTTTGAATCCTGCAGAACGGCACTGCGCTGTGGCGCAGCATCGAGCTGCTAGGGTTTAGCACTAGGGCTGTGGCCCGCGGCTGGACGCCCACGACCGAGGGTTTAGGGTTTAGGGTTTAGGGTTTAGGGTTTGCCTTCGCCGTCAAGAGGCACTGAGCCTATGGGAGTGCTAAAAGCTGTAAACTCCTCCGGAGGCAGCAGCAGCCCAAAACCCTCTTGATGCCACGGGGCCAGCAGCAGCACGCGCTTCCTGCAAACCCTAAACCCTAAACCCTAAACCCTAAACCCTCGACCCAACACCCTCAACCCTAAACCCTAAACCCTAAACCCTAAACCCTAAATCAAAAAGGAAGCTGCAGCCAGACCCTCACGTGCGCTGCGCGCTTGCCGATTGCGCAGCACTCAGGGGAGACTGTTTAGCCCAAATCCTAAACCCTAAACCCTAAACCCTAAACCCTTGACGTACACTCTTCGCTGCAAAGCTTGCATTTGCTTATAGCCCACGGCCGCCGTAGACCCGGAATAAACAAAAGCCGCGTGCCTGGACGTAAACCCTAAACCCTAAACCCTAAACCCTGCGCAAGAGTTTGCGGCGATCTGTGCACGCGAATTTACGGTTAGGCCTAAAACACCAAACCATGGTTTGCTACTTCAAAACAAACTGCAAGCCAGGCCTGAAGACAGAACCCTG